CCTGAGTCTGTCTGTCTGCGCTGACCACACAGTGTGTGTTGGGACCACCATCTTCTGCCCTGGGTCTGTCTGTCGGCTCAGCGAAGCTGCAGCTTTGGGCTCTACAGAGCTGTGCTGGGCGTCAATTCTGGAGGTTTGGGGTGAGAGGTCTGTAAGTTTAGGAGGCTATGTGGATATATGTGCTGTATATGGGGGTGTTATCTCACACGTCTGTGTGGTGTAGTCCGTGGCGGGCCACCAGCAGAGTCGCCATTGTGGCAGCATGTAGGGCTGGCTGTGAGGGACAGTGCTCTGGCCATGTCCTCCTGCACGCTTTGTAAGGGAGAAGGAAGCAGCTGTGTGTGGATGCAGGGCTGCTTCGCCCAGGGAGGGAGTCCCAAGCACTGCTGTGGTGCGTGCTGATTGAGTGGAGGTGGTGATGAAAGCCTTTGTGTTTCTTTACGCAGTGATGCCTGCAGGCCCGCAACCCCCCTCCCAGTGTCAGGAGCATTCAGCCGGTGCTGGGGGGCCATCTGAACGCTTTCTCATCCTTCAGAATTTGAGTTTTCCTGCTCTGACAGGTTTCCACCTTACACAGATGCTGGCTTTCATAGCCTTTACACTGTACCCACATGGTGGAGATTGAGTGGCCCTGGGCTGGGCAGGTCTCATCCTGTCCCTGTGTACCACAGCTGCCTGCAGGGCACCTGACAAGAAACCACCATCTCCTGGGTCCATCCACTGCTGTCAGTTCACAGACAGGATTCGCAGGTGGCCACCTGCTGAGGTTGGCGGGCGGCTGAGGTGTGAAGGACTGTCAGCCTGGAACCTCGCCGACTTTCTAAACCACACGTTATTTTAACTTCATCCTTTTTACTGTTGGGGAAAAAAGAGTATCCACCCTTTGGTTACATCTTTTCAACATTTTACACCACAGTTCCATCTTAGAATTTAGAGTCTTAGCACTTGAATGACTTTTCCAGTCCCATCATTTCTCTTAATTAGAGTAAGAATTTTTCTTCTAGACTTTGTGATACTTAGTTTTTGCATGGAAAATAACTTTTCTGGACTTATACCATGCCAATAATACCTAATTAATATTCCTTTTATACAGTTAAATGAGAGCTGCATAGTAAAGTAGACTGGGGGTTAGTCTGTATAACAATGAAAAGAATTACACTTTCCAAAGAGAAAAGCAAACTGGGAGGGGAGAGGGCAGGAAGGAAGATGTGCAACAATGAGTGAAAGGAAATTTAAAAAAGAAAATTACTTTTCAAGGGAGTAAATTGGCATTTAACCATTTTTAAACATTTCACCAAGATACCATGATAAGCCAGCTTGTGTAACAGACTCCATTAGTATCCAGTTAAGACTCGGCTGCACCCCGTTCAGGGCATTGCTATCAAGAGGAGCAGCCGAGTACCAGGCTCAGGGCCCAGTTCTGGAATTTAAATTGTTCCCCATTGTAAGGTGGTGCACAGACCGAGCACTGCACTCCTAACTGATAATTTAGGGGTTCACACTCACCCCTAGGTGCCTTGGAGCTGGCGGTGACAGTCTGCTTCCAGGGTCACATCATATAACCTGCAGGACAATTGGGCTTTGCATACATGGATTAGAATTCATTAATAGAAGTAATTAAAATGAAACGGGTAATTTTGTAATTGTCTTCATCAAGAGTGTTTCTAGTGCTGGGATTTGTGAACTGAAAACAAGTTAGACGTGCTCTTGGGAGGATAACTCGGAGGGTGCCCTTCCTTCCAGGTTGCTGTGCCACGCCATGAAGGACCACATTGTCCGGGTTGCCAACGAGGCTGAGTTCATCCTGAACCGACAGCGAGCCGAGGATGTCCACAAGCACGCGGAGTTCGAGGTGAGGCTCCGCGGGGCGGCCGCGGCTGTGTGCAGGGGCCGTGTGGGAGTACGTGTCCGTGGTGAATGACTGTCGCATTGCTTTCTTTCCACCTCTCTGGTGGCCTGGTGTGTAGGGAATCTTGGAGCTAACCCAGGGAGGCTGCCTCCAGCAGAGAAACATGGGTCATTTCCTCCCTTCCTGTTAATAACCTCAGAAAGCAAATTTGTTTGATTTTAATTCATTCAATTGACAAGATGAGACTGGCTTGAAAAATATTTAGATGACCTGCTACTGGGTTTCAGTTGAAGCATAAGTTCTTGAAAATCATTTGATTTATTCCTGATGCCCAGTAGGCCATTGTTGTGCAGTGACTGGGTATCAGCGTCCAGCCTTCAGTGTGTTTTGTTTGGTTTTGGGTTCCTTGGCATTTTTTATACTTCTTTATTTACAAAGTTCAAATGCATTGGTTTCCACACCAGATCCTTCCCATTTTCTGTATTCCCACAGCCATCAAATTGTACCACCCCATAATTAATCCCCCCGAAGTTATACGTCAATAAAATGAATTTTAAAAACACCAACAACCACAAGCTACCAGATAGTTTAAACCTTGATAAAAAATACATTTACAATTTAATATTTATCAAAGTGAAGATTTTTATCTCCTCAATGGTAATCAGCCTTGGACCTACAGTATTAGGGTACCCTTCAGTAACTGGGGTGCTGCCAAGGTACTGGGCGAACTGTTCTTTGAAGGATATGTTTATGTATAAAGAACTCAGAATAAAGTAAGAATATTTCATTAACTTCCAACTACTGTTAGTAAATAAGATTGACAGTATTAACGGAATTCCCAGCCAATCAGTCAGTCTTCTTCTGACTAAATGCGTCAGGATTATTTTGTGAGGTAGTGAGCAGATGGGTGTTTGTCATTTGAAAACATTTATGTTGATTTGCAGGCCGCTTGACATTTGTTAGGAGTCCGATGCCATTGTGCATCCAGCTTGTCCAAGGGAGGGACATGGGAGGTCTCCTCCCATCAAGGTTTGTAGTCCGGAGCTCATGGAGTGGTGGGGGCCACTGTTATTCAGGACCAGCTGGATGCCAGAGGCCTGGCACGGCTGAGTTGTAGGCTGCCTTGGTGCCCCCTTGGTTAGGCTGAGGTTGTATTAGTACATACCCTGGGGACGGTGGGGTGTGAGAGCGTGCGTGTGTGTGCGCGTGTGCGTGTGAATGTGCTCAGCGTACCTCTCACTCACCCTTTGAAGCTATAAAAGGTGTTCTAAGTAGTTGTGCATTTTGACTAGGAATATGTGAGATACTTCTGTCTCCCCTGTAAGTCCAGTGATTAAGCAGAAATGTGTTTCATTTGAGATGGCCCCTTCACAGGTAGGTTTCTTTAGTTAACCACTGTAATTGTTAAGGAAGAAAAATGAAAATTTCAATTTACTCTCCAATGAGCTAATGAAATATTAACCTCATTACCAAGTCAGATCATTGTACTAATTGGCGATTCCCCATACAAAAAGAGAAATTGGAAAACAAGTTAATCCTTCCTAGATTACTGGAGGGTTATTCCTTCCCCAGTGCCGACTGCCAGTGGAGTCTGGAGTGGATGGTGGACAGAGAGGACACATCCATAGAGCTTCCAGAATAAAGCTTTTGACAGGGCACTGATGGATGTGAGCTAGCCATGCGTTTTTCTCTGATGAGTGATTTTCCCCCCATCCTAAGTATAACATTTGTATACTCTGTGATGTTACAACGACTGTCAGGGAAATTCTACAGAGTTTATTATATCAAAGATTGTTCTAGGAAAAGTCTAGCCTCTCCGTATTGAACGTCTTTGACCCACAGACAGACGTTTCCTCGTTGGCTCTTAAGCCCGTGAGCCTGTGTACCGGGCTGTCAGGGCCCAGGGTTCAGGGCCATTCACACTGACCATCCCTGTGGCCAGCACATGAGTGTCTGAGCTGGGGGCGGGGGGCGGGGCAGCAGGAAAGGCATCGGCTGAGCTCCTCACATTGCTAATAGAAAACTCATTCAGTGAAAAAGGTGAATTTTCATAAGGTGTTAGTGAAAATCGATATCTAAATTCTTAAACCACGGGGTTTTTTTTCTTCTGTGTCACAGTACCACTTAGGAGATGGAAGAGGAGAACAGAAATGGTAATTTTAAAAGTTTCCATATAGTTATCAGGAACATTATTCCTATTTTAAGTGATACCCAGTGTGGATTAAGGTAATAAGTAACTGTCCCCACTGGATAATGCAGTATTAAATATGAAGAGTGGGTGTTTCAGCAGCTCGCAGGCTGGGAAAGCCCTGAAGACCAGTCACTACACGTCAGAACCGACGCCCAGCAGCGCGTTTGGAGCTGTGTGGTGTGGGAGTCACGTGGAGGTGGTCGCCTCCGTGGGGCAGTGGGAAGGCTGACCATCTGTGCTGTGTGTCTGCAGTCCCAGTGCGCCCAGTATGCGGCCGAGCGGAGAGAGGAGGAGAAGATGTGTGACCACCTCATCAGTGCGGCCAAGCACCGGGACCACGTCACGGCCAACCAGCTGAGGCAGAAGATCGTCAACATCCTCACCAACAAGCATGGCGCCTGGGGGGCAGCTTCTCACAGGTGGACGCTGGAGCCCGCAGCTGCGCTCTGTGCTGGCAGGTGAGCGAGGCGGTGACCTACAGGTTTAATAGGAACACGCAGCAGGGAACCTTAGAAACCCTCACAAGTCATCTCAACTCTTTCCCGTTGGCTTTTTCGCTGAGGCATCATGGGGTGCTGCTTTGAAATGGTTTCCAAGAAAACCTCCAATTTTCTCAGCAGCTGTAGGAGAAGGGATTCTGAACTTGTCGTTGTTGTTATGTGCC